GCTACAACATCTGGAGCTCTGCTGATCCAAAGCTTCCACTCAGTCTCCCACATGGGTTCAGGGGCCCAAGGACTTGGGCCATCTTCTACTGCTTTCCCAGGCCACAGCAGCGATCTGGATCGGAAATGGAGCAGCCAAGACTTTAACCAGCGCCCCTATGGGATGCCAGCACCGCAGCCAGAGGCTTTATCCGCTATGCCACAGAGCCGACCCCAACTGCTCTATACAATGTTAATGTCGCTAACCTTGAGCATGAAGATGTAAAATTAAAGGTAGTAATAGAAGCCAGCTAAAAGTGGATGGGGAGGTAACAAGTAGATAGAAGAAAGAATTAACATCCCTACTTTGAAAAATAAGGAATCAAGAGCTTCTGTTGAAATTTGCAGCAGCAAGAAGCAGAAGCTTAGCTATGCTTTTTGGTGTACAAAGACAGCTAATATTCTTTTTAATGTAACTATCACTACTTGGAAGGAGGGAAAGAAAGAAACCAACTAAATTCTCAAAACTCAGACCAGAAGTCAAAGGATGTTATTCTATTGGCAATTCAACAAATAACAATATTATTTCGAGGTGTGCAGAAAATCAAAACAACTAAACCCAAAGTTAGTTAAGAGAGTTTGCTTCAAGGGAATATTATGGGGACTGTTGGCCAATGGGCAGAGGGGTAATGAAGAACTGTTATTTCCATTTAAAATCTTTGCACTATTGAATAATTCATCAGAAACACAAATAACTTTTATAAATTGTTTTTAAAAGGAGAAAATGAAAAGAACAGGCATTCAAAACAGCATGTTTAAATTATCAAAGAAAACCATTTTTAACATAAAGAACTTCGAGATTTTCAAATAACTTCTGGCTTTTTAAATTTACACTTCCCCATTTGGTTTAAAAATAAAAGAAAAATCATAATTTTATGTTCTTAGAATTCTATAATGAAAGTTGACCCCCTCCTGATGACTACAATTCCAAATCTATATTATTCGACATGAAAAGCAATTTCCTAACAAATCCAACAATTCTAAGTAAGGGATCAATGCATTAAAATGTGTTTTCAGCCATTATTACCTAAGAGTGGCTGTGTTTTCCTTGGCAGAGAAGATTATAGTGAGAACTGGTATTTAAAGGGCTGCAAGATGTCCTGCTATTTTCAATGACAGCAATTCCATTCTAGCTTAAAAGCTGTGATCATGGTAGTTATTAAGTTTCTCAGTCTTGACATGGGATAAAGAAGATAGTGATTTCAGGCACTTGTCCCTTAGGGTAAAGAAAAATGAGGAAGTATCAATAATTTATATTTTTGGTGTAGCTTTCACATGATCATACACCATTAAAAGTGAATTTAATAGGAGATGATGGAGTACCCAGCAACTTGGATCTGGGAAGGGGGTGCACAACCGCCCTGGTAAAACAGGAGAGATGGGCATCCAGGGCCCGTGCCCAAGAGGCAAAGCTTGGTGAACTGTACCCCTTCATCCACTGGGGATCCCTGGGAACAGCAGGGTGACTGCTCACCCAGAGAGGGGAGTAAAGGCAAAAAAGTAGGGCTTCTCTGTTTGTCCCCTCCTCCCTCCCGCAACAGCAACCTGCAGCCAGCGGTGAAGGGCTGGCACCGTTTTTGGACTTAGGCACTTAGTGGCCACTCCAGATTGTGTGCAGCACCCAGCATTTCTTGTGGTCACCCTCCACCCAGTCAGCAGAGGCACACATAGCAGCGCAGGAGCAACCCTCTGAGGTTGCTGCCGTTGCATGCCAGCTGCACCCACCCGCCATCAAGACTGAGGGGGAAGCTTCCCTTTGGAAGGGAAGTGCAGCCTGTGGGGCTCTCTTAGGCACCCAGCACAGTTGTGAAGCAAGCAGGTCTATCTGTGGCTGGGAGGTACAGTGCCTGCCTGCGACCCAGAGATCTTCCCAGAGGAAAAACCCTGGTACCTCACTGGTATCACATCTGGTTAGGAGGACAGGACATGATCCAGTGGGCTGAACACATCCTGTGGCCCCTCTGCTGTCAGGATGGGCTAGCTGGGTGGAGTGGCTCCACTTGTACTCCCTGGCCCTGAGAGCCCTGGGTGCTGAGACTAAGAAAACACTGTAATCCTCTGAAAGGAGATAGGGTGTGTCTGGGTTCTGGGCAATCACAGAGTGCTGCAGCGCACTCTCAGAGCTCCTTGTGGCCTAGAATAGCTCATAGGAGAGAGAACAGTGCTTACAGGAGGGGCTGGGTAGATCATTTGTGTGTCAGTGTGGATGAGTGCTGAACACATTGGGGGCTAACACCTGGGCACTCCTCAGCCTGGAGGAGAAAATGTGGTTGCACCAACAGAGACAATTGTTCTTCTCCCTCCGGTTAATCAGAGGAAAACTACTACGCCGAACCTGGATGCTACCCCAGATACCCATCCTGGAGCACAGATCAGAACTCCTTGGCCACACCCACTACACATTTCTTGGTATTCACTGAAAGAGTAGATATTCCACTATACCACACAGGCGTAATTCAAAGATAAAAAAAATCCCCAAGAGGGGGGGAATCTTACAAATGCCTAAAAATAAATGCAAAAACCCAATAAACAAGAGTAAGGAAGACACCATGACTCCTGCAAAGGAGTACAATAGTATTTCAATATTAGAATGTGAAGATGAAGAGATTGAGGAAATGACAGAAATGGAATTCAAAAAATTCACCATAGGATTATTCAAAAGTAATCAGAAGCAAATCCACGAGCTAAAAAAACCCACATATGACATGAATTAAAATTTCTCACATGAAATTCAGATTTTAGAGAGAAATCAAATGAAATACTAGAAATGAGGAATTCAATAGATCAAATAAAAAACACAGTGGAAAGCTTCAACAAAGGAATTGCTGAGGCAGAATAAATAATATCCGAGTTAGAAGACAAATCTCAGGAAATTTCACAGTCAGACCAAAAATAAGAGAAAGAAATTAGAAAACTTAAAAACAATGTTGGAGATATATGAGACACTATCAAATGACCCAACATATGGTCTTGGGAGTGCCTGAAAGAGCAGAAAAAGAGAAGGGAATAGAAGGCCTACTTAGTGAAATAATTACAGAAAACTTCCCTAACTCGAAGAAGGAAGGAAGGTCCAAGTACAGAAGTACAGGAAGCATGTAGAACTCTTTTTTTTTTTAATTTGACAGGTAGAGTTATAGACAATCAGAGAGAGAGAGAGAGACAGAGAGAAAGGTCTTCCTTCCATTGGTAGAAGGCCTACTTAGTGAAATAATTACAGAAAACTTCCCTAACTCAAAGAAGAAAGGAAGGTCCAAGTACAGGAAGCACGTAGAACTTTTTTTTTTTTTTTTGAATCTGACAGGTAGAGTTATAGACAGTCAAAGAGAGACAGAGAGAAAGGTCTTTCTTTCATTGGTTCACTCACCCAAATGGCTGCTATGGCTGGTGCTGTGCCAATCTGAAGCCAGGAGCCAGGTGCCTCCTCCTGGTCTCCCATGCGGGTGCAGGAGCCCAAGCACTTGGGTCATCCTCCACTACCCTCCTGGGCCACAGCAGAGAGCTGGAATGGAAGAGAAGCAACCAGGACTAGAACCCAGCACCCACATGGGATGCTGGCGCCGCAGGCGGAAGATTAACCAAGTGAGCCACGGCGCCAGCCCGCACGTAGAACTCTTAATAGATATAACCACAAAAGATTTTCACCACAACACATTGTAGTCAAACTTTCCACAGTAAAGCATAAAGAAAATATTTTAAAATGTGCATGAGAGAAATGCTAGATTACCTTCAGAGGATCTACAATTAGACTCACAACTGATTTCTCATCAGAAACCCTACAGGCTAGAAGACAATGGCAAAATACAGTCCAAATCTTAAGAGAAAAAATTGTCAACCCACAATAATGTACTCTCCAGAGCTCTCATTTATAAATGAAGGGGAAACAAAGACCTTCTATAACAGAGAAATTGAAAGATTTTGTCAACCTTGTGTCCAGCCTTATAAGAGATGCTAAAGGATGTGCTACACATAGAAACACAGAAAGAAACCCAGAGTCATGAAAAAACGCGAAGATAGAAAGTCCCCCAGTAAAAGCACAAAAGAAACCCAAAGTAAACAATAGGAATATTCACAGGAAAATGACAGGTCCAAGTAGTTACTTATCAATAGTTACCTTGAATGTAAATGGCCTCAACTTTCCAGTTAAAAGATACAGAATCACCTAATGGATTGGAAAACATAATCTATGTACCTGCTGCATACAAGAAACACACCTCACCAACAATAATACATGTAGACTGAAAGTGAAAGGATGGAAAAATATATTCCACGTAAATGAAAAAAAAAATGGCAGGTGTAGCCATTCTAATATCAGACAAAATAGACATTAACACAAAAACTGTTAAAAGAGACAAAGAAGGACACTATGTGATGATAAAAAGATCAATTCAACAGGAAGACATGACTATAATAAATGTATATGCACCCAATTAAAGGGTGCCTGGCTATCTAAAAGATCTGTTAACATATCTAAAAGAAGACATAAACTCCAATACAATAGTAATGGTGGACTTGGACACCCCATTTTCATCAATGGATAGATCAATCCGACAGAAAATCAACAGTCTTATCTATAAATCAGCAGTATATCAGTATATAGCAGTATATCAACTGTCTTATCTATAGTGTGAAACTTATCACACTTATCTAAAGTGTGAAACAAATTACTAGAGAATACCAGGGAAACCCTGGGGAACCGGCTCCTCTCCGCGAAGCCTCCTCGGGGCCCCACGGCTCTCCCCGCGTCCCGGCCCTGGCAGGGCAGCCACGCTGGCCGCTCAGGCCGCTCCGCGGGCGCCGCACGAACCGCTCTCCGCCGGCGCTTCCTGAAGCAGGCGCTCGGAAAGGCTGAGGGCGGCCGAGCTCGCGCCCCGCGGGACTCGGGAGAACCCGCGCCCGCCGGTGTGCAGGTGCTGGGTGGCGCTCTCGGGTCTGCGAGCGCGCTCGGCCCGAGGCTGGGCTGCAGCTCCGCGGGTCCGGACGCCGCCGCAGACCCGGCCCCTCGGCAGCGCCTCCCCTCGCGACTGGGGGCTCCCGCACCACCCGGCCGCGGCCGCGGCGAGCAGCGCGGGCCCGAGCGCCTCACGCACCGCCGCTCTAGAGGCCGGGGGCCCAACTCAGGGTCCCCGAGGCTCGGCCTCCGCGCTGGGCGCTCCGGGGCGGATCCAGTGAGAGGACTGTCGCGCTCAGGGGCGGACGGTCTGTCGCGCATCTCTGCCCTGGCCGGAGGGGTGAAGGACGGCGCCAGGCCCAGGGTTCCAGTCACGGCGCCCCCACAGCCTCCGACCGTCAGACTTGGGGATTCGGGGCTTCCCAAGCTCCACAGAGCGGGCCCCCGGCGCGCCGAAACCCGCGCCCCTGAGAATCCCGGCAGGTGCACGCGCCGCGGCGAGGGGCGTGGCCAGTCGCGCGCTCCGCGTTGGCCGCTCCTCGCGGCCGGACGGTTGGAAGCGGTGCTGCCTTGAAGAGGGTGAGCGCCGAGCTGCGTGAGGACGGGGGAGAAACAGGTGAGAACCGACGGTCTCCGGCGGGAGCGCTCGTGAGGACTGAGCGCTGCGGCTCCTTGTGTGTGAAGGACGCGGCGCGCCATCGGCGGGGAGCGTTTTCGTCGTGATGGACAGGTGAGGACCCCACGCGAGGGGCGGGGCAGCCGCGAGGCCCACGGGGCGGGGTCCTCCGGTTCTGTAGCTCGTGTTCCGGCGCGAGGGAAGAGTGTGGACGATGTCGGTGTTTAGCGCTGTGGAGACGCGCGGCCGTAGAAAAGTAAAGGAAGGCAGTCGGGATGGGGCTGCAGGGAGGGGCTGGCCAGCGCACACGGGGCGGCCGGTACCGCAGGTGGCGCGGGGGCCAGACCGGCCCGGGAGGTCAGCCGAGTCCTGGGCGCTGAGGCGTGCGTGGGATCGGCGGGGGCCGTGCCGGTGTGCGCGCTCACCAGTTTCCAGTCGGGAGAGCAGCGGCTGGCCACTCGCTGTCTTGGTATTCCCAGCTCGGAGAAGACTCTTGGCTTGGGACAGGAGCTGGAGCGGGAAGGCGGGGGAGGCCGGGGAAGCAGGCGCTGGGCGGGACGCGGCGCGGGAGTCCGCGGTGCTCTGCTTGCTGGGGCCGTTCCTGGAGCTGTCTGCACAGCTCTGGGCTGCAGAAGGGGCCGCCTGCCCGGGGCGCCTGTGGGGCTTCCCCAGGTGGTCTGTGGTCTTCACCTCTCTGGAGGTGTCCTTTCAGGAAGCCTCCCCACATGAACCAGGGGTTTGAATGCCTGGAGCAATTGATTACGTTGCATAATCGAGTGCCTGCCCACCAGCCATCCCTCCACCTCTGGTCATTATGAGTCCCCTAAAGGATGCCGGGAAAGCAGCGTGGCAGTGACCTTCCCTCATAACCAGACTGACAGACGCCCCACAAGTCTTTGAAGCGGGGGTAGTAACCATGGGCCTTGGGTTTATTACTACTAATAAATGGGTTTACATTTGTTAGTATGTGTGCCTAGGAGAGAGGGACCTACCAGATAGCTAGAAGTGACTTCTTCTTATTTATTTATTTAGTTTTTTTTGTTTTTTTTTTGTTTTTTTGTTTTTTTGTTTTTGTTTTTTTTTTACAGGCAGAGTGGGCAGTGAAAGAGACAGAGAGAAAGGTCTTCCTTTTCCGTTGGTTCACCCCCCAATGGCCGCTGCGCCTGGCGCACCGTACTGATCCGAAGCCAGGAGCCAGGTACTTCTCCAGGTCTCCCATGCTGGTGCAGGGCCCAAGTCATCCTCCACCGTGCTCCCGGGCCACAGCAGAGAGCTGGACTGGAAGAGGAACAACCGGGACAGAATCCGGCGCCCCGGGATGCCGGCTCTGCAGCTCACTAGGCTAATCCTCCACCTGCGGCGCCAGTACTCCGGGTTTCTTCCCAGTTGGGGCGCCGGATTCTGTCCCGGTTGCTCCTCTTCCAGTCCAGCTCTCTGCTGTGGCCCGTGAGTGCAGTGGAGGATGGCCCAGGTCCTTGGGCCCTGCACCAGCATGGGAGACCAGGAGGAAGCACCTGGCTCCTGGCTTTGGATCGGCGCAGTGGCGCCAGCCGTAGCAGCCATTTGGGGTGTGAACCAACGGAAAGAAGACCTTCTCTCTGTCTCTCTCTTTCACTGTCTAACTCTGCCTGTCAAAAATAGAAAAAAGAAAAGAAAGTGATCTTAGTGCGGGAAGGAGGGCCCGCAGCTGTCTGAGGCCCGTGAAATCCTGTGGCCTGGTGCTGCCCAGGCAGCCGCAGCTGGGGCTCAGAATTCCATCAAGTTGACAATCTGTGGCCTGCAGTGGATGCTATAAATGTCCAAATGGCCCTTGGCAGAAAAGGGGCTCCCGGGCCCTGGGAGGAGGAGCAGGTGTGTCCTGGGAGCCTGGTGATAAAGCCAAGTGTGGAGACCTTGACCCGGCTGAGAGGCAGGAGGCCCGAGGACTGTGCAGGTTCCCGGGACCTGGTGCAGGTGTGTGTGCCTTCTCCAGGGACGGCTTCAGAGCAGCGAGGAGCTGGCTCCTCTGGCTCAGAGTCCCCGGTCCCTCCAGGCTGGGGCGTCCCTTCTTCCACTTAGTAAAGGGTCAGCTGTCTCCCAAGGCCTGGTGAAACACAGATTGCTGGCACACGTCAGGGAGCTTGCTGCAGCGAGTTTCATGGCTTCTTTTCCTCAGCTCAGTACAAAAATAAAAAGCCAGGAAACAGTTTGCAAAGAGGCAGAAATTTCTTAAAAGAAAAGCATCTGGTCCAAGAGGATGCCAGGCAGAGTGCCCGAACGGGACATTGGATTTCAGGAATTGCCTGGGGTTTTTAAGGCATTACTATTTTTTCTTGGGTCATCCTATGGGTTGGCCTATTGGACGGTGGGTTTACATACGTATGTTGATTGGCTTGGGGTTCATGGAGGCAACAGAGGTCTCTTAGAGGCAGCCCAATCCTCCTTAGGGGCTCAGACCCCTCCTCTGCTAGCTCTGGGTGGAAGATTGCAACTAACTTGAAGGTGTGATTTGAAACTGCAAGGTCACACAAGCACAAGAAGCTGTAGTGGGGGAGGTGTCGGCAGGTCTGGGAAGAAGCTTTTCAGCCACAGCTGGCAGCCTGCTTATGAAGAACTTTCCACCTATGTCTGCAGAGCCACAGAACCCCAGCCCCCCTGGGCAGCCTCATTTAGGAACCGCTGAACAATATCTCAGATGCAAGAAGAGCCACTCTCCTCATTGAAGAAATGGTGGAGGATGTGGTCCATTGTATGTGTGTGCAGTGCCCATTTCTGAGACTTCTTGTTTTCACTTCCAGTCAGCCAGCCAGCTGTTACATCCCTGACCTGGTTTCCCTGCCTTCTCTGGGCTGTAGTAAACAGAGAAATGGGAGGAATGCAAGTGGTGCTCAGGGTGAGAAAGGGTGGCTGTGTGTGCTGAGATGCTGTGCACACCCTGCCAGTTGGCACCGCACCTGCAGCACTTCCTGTCCCTCCAGAGCCCTGTTGATGTCCTAGCCGCTATTCAGCGCCCTGCTCCTTCTGCTCCTCCAATGTCCTCCACACCAAACTGACCTCAGTCCTGCTGCTCAGGCCAGGTGGGATATGGCTGATAGGGGCCCTGATGCACTGGGTCTGCAGTTCTCACGTGACCTTGGTGAGTTTGGGGAGGTCTACTGGGCACTGCACCATGGCACCAAGACTTGCCATCCCCAGCCACCCTCTCTCCAGCCACAGCTCCTTTGTATACCTGGTGTGGAGCCTGTGTCTTGGAGCAAATGGTAGAGATCTGCTGTTCATTTGGGGTAGGTGGAGGCAGGCTGGGCAGTAGCCCCAGAAAGCCTGGGACTAGCATGAGGAGTTCTATTTGTGCAGAACAGTGCTCTGGCCTGGTTCCGTTTTCACAGTCAATCTCCAGGCATAACTCCCAGCTCTGCCTCCTTACCTGGGCACGGGGTGCAGAAGGTGTTGTGTAAAAGTCACGTTTCCGGCCGGCGCCGCGGCTCACTAGGCTAATCCTCCGCCTTGCAGTGCTGGCACACCTGGTTCTAGTCCCGGTCCGGGCCCCAAATTCTGTCCCGGTTGCCCCTCTTCCAGGCCAGCTCTCTGCTGTGGCCCGGGAGTGCAGTGGAGGATGGCCCAAGTGCTTGGGCCCTGCACCCCATGGGAGACCAGGATAAGTACCTGGCTCCTGCCAGCGGATCAGCGTGGTACGCCGGCCACAGCGCACCGGCCGCGGCAGCCACTGGAGGGTGAACCAATGGCAAAGGAAGACCTTTCTCTTTGTCTCTCTCTCTCACTGTCCACTCTGCCTGTCAAAAAAAAAAAAAAAAAAAAAAAAAAAAAAAAAAAAAAAGTCACGTTTCCTTTGTGTGCTATGGTGCCCTTGTCTTTAGAAATCTGTGATCTCCAGGGTGGGTACCCTCGAAGGCCCACCATGGTTCAGGTCCCAGAAGAGGCACTTGGAGGCCTGGCCTTCAGGGCCCCAGGATGCCACAGGGCAAATAATTAATTAGTGATTTGGACTAGTTTGTGGTGGGCTAGGGGCTTTTTGCCACCGGTGTTTTTCTAGGTGTTGTGAAAGTGTTGGTGCTATAGGATCCCAGTCTCAGGCGTCCCCTTCCCCAAAGCATAGACATTCACAGTGATGATCACTCAGCCTGCTCTCTCTCATTTCAGCCCATTACCATGCCAGCACTGTGGGGTTCCTTGGCTGCTGTAAATTGCATTCTTTGACTGTGGTATTTCTCAGTCTTCATTGCATCCTGAACTCAGTCTGTTCCATTCACTCATCAAGCAAATCACCTGCTACTTTAATACACAGCCCCCTGTCAGATGCCTGTGTTTGAGGACCTCATGTGTCTAGGGTCAGCAGTGTGGCTGGACATCTCACAGTTCTGGTACTGTGCTCCTGTGGCCCAGAGTGGAATGTTAATGAAAGACAAGGCTGTGGGAGTAGATTGAGCAAGACCAGGCCCACCTCCCTGTCTCCAAGTGGACGCATTGTTTCTTCTGTCTTTTCTATTCTGAGGTGAAGCCTGCAGAGCTTTCTGTTTTTGTTGTTGCATTTTCCAGTTCTAAAGTTTCCATTTGGTTTTTCCTTGTATCATCTTTTTATTTGCTGTGATTTTGTTTGTTTGTTGAGCTATCCATTTTATTTGTTTTAAGTATGTTTGCAAGTGCTCATTCAAGCATTTTTATCACAGGCACTTTAAAATCTTTGTCCAAAGGTTACAGCATCCCTGTCATCTCATTTTTAGTGTCTGTTGATTCTTTTTTTTTTCACTCCCTTTGATATATTCCTGGTTCTTGGCATAATGAATTATTTTCTATTCAAATCTATACATGTTTTATTCTTTTGATAACCTGCATCTGATTTGCATCTTACATTTAACTTTTTTTTTTTTTTTTTTTTTTTTTTTTTTTTTTTTCTTTTCTGATACTGCTTCAGCTGTGATGGGAGGAGGCACAGCTTCATTACATCCAGGGCAGGTAGAAATCCAGGCTCCCCGCTTAGCCTCTGTTGACACTCATGAGAGGAAGGAGCTCCTCATTGCCCTTGGGAGGGGACAGGAGTCCCATCTTCCTGTGTGGTCTCCTTGATCCTGCAGTAGTGAGTGGTGTTCCCTGTCCATCTTCAGTATGATGTCTCAGAA